TTTTCAGTAATCAACTCCAAAAGGTCGTTGCAAGTAACATCACAGAATTTACTTGCTGATCCCTCATCTTCACAGTCTTTCGCATTCTGGTTTCTGATGTCATAAACCAGTTTCTCCATCCAGTCATCACTTTCAGATAACTGATAATTCAGCCAACCGAAGACTGTCTTCCAGCAAAGTGTATTACTGTATTCCGAATACAGTGAAAGGAGAAGTAAGACAAACTGTTTTGCTTCCTGTTTCTGGGTAGGCTCTCTCGCTTTTTCCGATTCATCAGCCAGACGTCTGCATTCCCTCACCAAAGAAGCCTGCAAGAGAAATTGAATCTAGTAATTTATAACTTGTAAGCTTCACACATACGTGTGAACACACACACACACACACACACACACACACACACACACATATATATATATAGAGAGAGAGAGAGAGGGAAAGGGAAAAGGTTAATGGTTGTAACAAATAAATGTGCTAAACGTCAAAGTCAAATAGCATTATACTAAATTACATTAGCAAAAAGGGTTAGTAATGGGTTATTGATGAGGGTAATGTTAAAAGTTGAACAGTACTAGAAGGTAGTATGACAGTGAGAAGGGAAGAAATCGGGAACTGATGGGGTATAGTATAAGGTAAAGGTTGTTAGCAGGGGAATCCGTTAAGGGAGTAGATCAAATTAGACCAAATGGAAGGTGTTTATGCGACTGAGGAAATAGAATAATTTATCAAAGGAAAATATAGGGGATTCTGAGAGGATATCCGGTAGTTTGGGGAGTTTGCTGTGAAGAGGGGATAGGATAGGAGGATGTGTAGGATTGGAAGAGGAACATTGCAATAGGAGAGTAGAAGTGGATCAGATTGTGACATGAGATAGGAATGTGTGAGGCGAGTGTGTCCAATGCGTAAGCGGTCAAGAGCAGTTTACCAGTGTCTATTCTGATAGAATGAAATGGACCAAGAAGAGATGTAAGGTTAAATGTAGTTATGATGTAGTTTATTAGTCGTAAGACTGGACCAGAAAAACTACCAGCGGGTAAAGAGGAAGGTACTGAAGTGAGAGTAGTAGTCACAGGATGATATATGTGAAAATCTGGCTTGATGGGATGTGGACAAGGCCATGGATTGTCCTTGTGTGCCTTCCTGTTCATTGCCGGGATCCTTAGGTGGCTGGGTATCCAGCAAAAGTGAGTGTGGTGTATGACTACATGAAATAGTTGGATGTTGCGGGTAAGAGGGTTGATTGGCTGTAGAGATTGTATAAGAGATAATGAGTTTTTGGAGTTGGTGTACACACACACAAATATGTGTGTGTGTGTGTGTATAATAGTAATGCTGTTGCTGATTGGCTTGAGTGCACCTCAAATTGAGAAAGCTTTAAAATGGAGAGGCTGCAAAGGATTTTGAAACGGTAATGTTCCCTCCATCTTCAACTGCTACCCAGAGTGAGTAGTTGTTCAGCAAACGACGTTCCTTCCATTTCGCCAAGAAATGTGTCTCTGGCCGCATTGTTGTCGTTAAAGTTTGCTTACGTACATTGCACGACAGCCGAGGCCTTATAATGTTATGTCTTTCAAAGGTGGATTACAAAGGTGGTATGTACCTGTAATTGCAACATCTGCAAATTCCTCTATATCTTAACGGAGACCTAGGCATACAGAGGTTTGACACATACTCATACATATGTGCGTGTGTGTTTCTCTCCTTCCAACGTCTTATGTGACGGTTAACCCCTTGTCTACTGGGAACCCGTCCAGCTTCCATGGAGAAATCCAACCACAACACTACCTTCTACAACACCCAGCCATCGCTGGGTGACTCGCTCGTAATCTTTAGAGAGATGAAACGAAGTAGCGGGTTAATCATATCTGAATAAAGGGAATCTTACCTTCAAAATCTGCCGTCTTGTGACATCTGGTATGTGGTCGACAGGAGCCCGCCCCACATTGTCCGGCAGGAAGAGGTTCGCTCCCATGTGGAGGACGAGGTTTGTAGCTGTGTCGAGGTGTCCCGAGTCAAGGGCCGCGTGTAGGGGTGTTCTTTTGTCCTTATTCTGGGACACGGCACTGCCGCCGCTGTGCCAGATCCACCAAGCGAATGTGGTTGCTCCATTGGCACAGGCTCGGAACAGCAGACTGTCTAGTGTTATTGCAGAGTTTTCTGTTATGCTGACCTTTGCATCCCAAGGTTTCTTTCCTTCCAAGGAATTCACTAAAGATTTTGCCAAAGGTTGCAAGTCGGCATCCAGGAGCGACATCTCCATCAGAATCTTGTGGATCACAGCCTGTGGTGTTTTATAGTTAGGTATACTGTAACATAGAGGTCGCCAACTTATGGCACGAGTGCCAGACGTGGCACGCAGAGCATTTGTCTATGGCACACCATGTGATTGAGAGGACCAAAGAAAAAGTTAAACAGTAAGATAATATGGTTGGTATAAATCTAAAATTATAAGACATATCTATTTTTTGTTACAAAAAATACTAAATGCTACAAGAATATTACATTTGTTATGCATGCGTAACATCTGGGTATACAGTGCTGAAAAAAAAACTGGCACACGAGATTATGAATAAGAAGTCATTAATTATCAAGTGCCACACTATGCTCAAAAGGTTGCCGATCCCTCCTGTAAAAGATGTGGCATGGTGCGCATGGTGAACGGCATCAGCATACATGATATTAATGGATAAACCAATACATGATACATGTTTTGCAGGATACGATGTCATTTTTCCTTTACAGTTAATATGCGTATGGCATTCACCTATATACAAACTTTCCTTTTTAAATCATTTTGAGCACAGAAACATGTACCTTATATAGCTCACCCTTGTAACAACAACTCCAACCCATGTTGTGATGTCCTGGGTCCTCCATGCCAACTGCATTGGACTAACGCTATCAGCAGACGATGTCATTGGCGCTCCAGCAGCTAGCAGGAGTGGCAACAGCGACGTGCAATTATTTGCAATGGCAAGGTGCAGCGGGTAGCAGGAGTGCCCTTCCGTGGGCTCCAAAGGGGCACCGGAAGCCAGCAGTGAGGAGGCCTCCTTCACGGCCCCCAGACGGTCTGCTTGTTCCTTATCATCTCCTTTTAAGTTGGCTTTTGCTGCTTTTGTTATCGAATTCAGCAAGCTAGTATAAAGCTTGGTCTTTTCGCGATCCTGGAAAAAGTAAGTTTATGTTTTTTTTTTTTTTTTTTTTTTTTTTTTAGAATATACAGGTAAATATACATGAGTTTTTTTTCAAATATTGACAAACAAGGAAATTTGTTAACACTGTTAACACTGTCTTACATTTTCAAATGTATGTATATGTGTATACCAGCATGGATATACAATTTATTTTGATACACTGTGTGTGTGTGTGTGTGTGTGTGTGTGTGTGTGTGTGTGTGTGTGTGTGTGTGTGTGTGTGTGTGTGTGTGTGTGTGTGTGTGTGTGTGTGTGTGTGTGTGTGTGTGTGTGTGTCTTTCTGACAAAGACACGATTTCAGGAAGAAAAAAGGATTTCATTAGCCATGTTGTTATACATGGGTTTCCTGAATCTCAGCCATTGGTTGTGTATCATCATTACACGGAGAAAGTTGGATATTAATTGGGACTTTTATCTTTTATTTAATTAACATTGAAAAGATATTATTCATACCATGCTTCTGAATATCATTTTCTTGTTGCTGGCGGTAGTTTCCACTTTGAAAAGGAGACTTGTACATATATTTTTTGCTTTTGTGAAATAAAGTATTCAAAATGGATGAGATTTTTTTCTTTTGTACCGATTAAGGTGTTCAGAATGTGTATACATGGATATATATGTGTGTTCGTGAGTGTATGTGTATGTGTGTGTGTGTGTGTGTGTGTGTGTGTGTGTGTGTGTGTGTGTGTGTGTGTGTGTGTGTGTGTGTGTGTGTGTGTGTGTGTGTGTGTGTGTGTGTGTGTGTGTGTGTGTGTGTGTGTGTGTGTGTGTGTTTCGCAAATAAACGGGAAAAGAGATCATAATGGTCCACAATCCAATCTCCGTGTTCCGCCCGTTTTATTCAGGCTTTTTTAAATGACTTTGCTCCTCGTCTCACCGTAAAAGAAAAACAAAAAATAGGAAACTGCGGAAATAACGGCATAAATTTAACTGAAATAAATAAACTTGTTCAGTTGAAAGGTTACCGTTTCTTCAACTTTGACCTCGTCTGCAATCGCCTTTGCAGCCTCCAGGTGGCCCTTCTCCCGGGCGAGGTCCGAGGGCGTCTTGCCGTCGTGGGTGCGGGCGGTGGGCAGGGCGCCGCGCTCCAGCAGGACCCCGATTTTGGGTCGGTCGCCCTGCTCCGCCGCCACGTGGAGCAGCGTCCGGCCCCGCTCGTCCTGGTAGTGCATGTCGCAGACGCCGAAGTCAACGGCAGTGGCCAAGGCTTCCGCGCTCGCGTTCTTCTCTCTGCAGTAAGCGTGGTAGAAGTCTCCGCTCTGTTTGTATCGGCTCATGCAAATATTCTGAAATGAAGGTAATTGGTTGTTTATTATACATGAATTGATACTGCTCTGTGGCTGAACATTTTCATTTGCATTATTAGTCATGATTTCCTTGGAAAGCGTCATTTACCATCAAGTGTTTCTGATCTTGTAAATCAGCTTGGCGTGCATTCTTGTTGAGCCACCAGGCTGTGTGAACATGGCCGCGGATGAGAGCTGTGTCCTCTGCACTCAAATTTTCCTTATCACGTGTGTCGACAAGAGTACCTTCTAATTCAACAAGTTTCTGGGCAGTGGACAGCCTTCCATAGAAGGAAGCCTTGTGAAGGACTGAGAGTCCCATGTCTGTCCGAATATTTATATCTGCTCTCTCTTCCACCAGCAGCTCGACTACCGAAGTGTGTCCGCAAAGAGCGGCATAATGAAGAGGTGTGGTACTTCGCTCGTCTTTAGCATTGGGATCGGCTCCATGAAGGATCAACACTTTGACCAAAACAGCGTCACCTCTGAGAGCAGCGTAATGCAAAGCTGTGTGGTGGGTAGGCGTTTCCCTTTTAACGTCTGCTTTTTTCATTAGCAGCAACTTAACAACTTCTGTATGGCCCGCCAGTGATGCATAGTGGAGGGGAGTATTGCCCTCAGGTGAAATTGTCTCTGGGTTTCTAAGGACATCTAACATATGGCTTTCCTCTCTTGCATACACAAGAAGTGTTTCACTTGTTGCACTTGAATTGTTTACATCAATATCTTCACAGTCAGACAATCTTTCCACGACATCAGCCTTTCCAGTCAGTGCAGAAAGATGAAGAGGAGTGTCACCAGTAGCATTAGAGGGATTCGGGTCACATTGCTTATGCAGTAGTAATTCTACAACATCGGTATGTCCTTCATAGGCTGCATAGTGAAGTGGGGTGTTCTTGGTGGCACCGGTTAAAGCAGAGAGATCTTCGCCTTTTTCTGACAGTTTAAGCACCTCGTCAGCACGCCCGTCTCTTGCCGCCTTGTGTATGAGGCCCATGTTCTTCGTTTCCAGTATTTCTTTACCCACAACCATCGCGATAGCATCGTGTGCCGAAGGATATGACAAATCATCTTCCATGATTTCACCCGGGTCAATAGGATGAATTCCATCTGCACATGGTAAAAGATAAATTAGATACAATGGTTTCAAAGAACCCCATAATATGATATATCATAATACCTCTGTTGTGCGTACACATGAAGTATTATACCTATTCACTGTTTATTCTCCAATCATGATCATATAAGTTTGGACAAATTGTATTTTGCCTTATACTTGATTGACATTGCATTTAATGTTTCAAAATAATTAAAACATGATAAAAAACAGATCTACTTCTCAGTACGTTACCAGTTACAGCAGAAGCATTCACTAAGTAAAAATCAGCTGGCACGTTAACAGTACCACGTGGCGGAATGCATACCGCTCTAACATATAAACAAACCACCAACTCCAAAACACTTTATGATTACACATCGACCTTAAATATCCCAGTCATTAGCCTTGGCTGTTGGCGACGTTAAGAACACTTCACTCTCTTTGTAAGCCAACAAAAACTGTTGCTTTCAGGCCACCATAGTCTTGCTAGCGCTGTTTGCTAGTACCTCTAACTCTCGACACATCTAGGATTTTCTACATATATACGTACGTGTATACTTCTTCCTCAATCTGTCCTAGTGAAACACCTTGGAGTGGATACTGGAGAGACAAGGGATTTTGAAGTGAACCTGAAGGAAAACCACAACCAGTCTTTGGCTGCTACCACACAGAAGCCAGCACTACGGTGAATCCTCCAGTTTTGTAGGATTTATCAAATATGTAGTCGATGTCCTTGAGCACAGTGCTACACCATGTCCAGTGATGCAAGTCGGAGAGCTCATACCAAGAGCCAGATATCGTCAATCTCAGGGACCTAATAAAGTCCCGGGGCAATGTCCATCGCTAGAATCAGCTCCTGAGCCATCTTGAATATTTTATTTTTTTGCACAGAAGAACGATAGCTCCGAGCACTCGCCATGACGAAAATAATGAAGTTCGCACGTTAATACTGTACGATACATTGAAAGATTGTTAAATGGATAGAATGTTAAATTTATAGATAGATGAATGAATAAACTGATCAATTGATAAGTAGATATATATGTATATTTAAAAATATAGATATGTATGTATTTATAATATATATACCCATATTACGCATATACAAATGTTTGTACATACACACACTAGCACAAAGACACATGTTATCGCTCCCCTGTGGCCGACCTGAATATTTTTGGAAACTAAGCCATTTCATCTTTCGTTTCCCTCAAATAAGTGATAACAAAACATGTAATATTAGTTGTCGTTGACTTTGTAGTGGAATATTCTTCATATGTGCTCTTCTGGAATTATCTATTTATCAAAATGATAACACCTAATCAAACTAATAAAGTGACTTTTTGTTTGTTTGCATGTTTGATTACCAGAACCAAACATATTGAGTAAATAGAAACCATGATACATGGCATTTTTCAAAATAGAACATGAACTAAACACAAAATCACAGTGAGGGTACAGTTAATATATAGATGTGTTATTATTATTATATGTGTCTGTGTTAGTGGACAAAATGCGTATGTATCTAGAAGTACATGTTTTGCTTTTTTTTTTTCATTTCGTGTTATTTTTGGGACATTGACGTTGATAAATACATTTATTTTGGGTATGTATCCCTCATAAGGCTTACCGTTTGGGGGCTGCACCAACCTCTCTTTCAAAGGATCTGTTAAATGTCAAGACGAAGTACACTGTATCTTCAACTTGATTCCCTGACAAATGATGATGATAATATAGATATATCTAGATCGATCGATAGACTGCGTGGCCTTTTATGCCTGAAAAAGTCTTGAACCTTGTCCTTCTGACTGTTTTGCTTTCGAACCTGCGAATTCCTCTAGTGGTGGAGGCGGTGCAGGAAACGGTCTGTGTTGGGCAGTGTTTCGGCTGGAGTCCTTCAGGTACTCCCGCTTGGCCTCCTCGACGCCGCCAGATTGAATGATGAAATCGTAGACGTACTTCCGTGTCTCCCGGTCCTCCATCTGCTGCTGGTTGAGGCCGACCTGCGGAGGGGAGAGGAACGGGGAGAAAATTTTGCATTCTGTTGACTCGACTGACTAAATTCAAGTTTGGGAATATGCATAGCAAAGACCGTTATTTACAGACCTGCCTGGCGTAAAGGCGCAATGAATAAAAAGATAAAATAGTAAAACACTGAAATATAATATCACAGTTACAATAACAACTTACAGTCTCGCATAGACACTCACGGCTCGGAAGAAGTCTCTGAGTCCATTGCCAAATTCCTTGTACTCGTTGTACTGAGAGAAGTCCTTGTCCCGGTCCTGCAATTCCTGATGCTGTGTCTGCCCCAAGTGTCCTATTCGGGAGGTCGAGGTCGGGCCGTGAGAAAGAGCGATTGGAAAATATCAAGAGGATTTCATGGCTTTCTGTCGAGGAAGCTGTTTTAGGGGAAAAAAAAAAAAAAAAAAAAAAAAAGAAGGATCGGGGCCCTTGAGGGAATGCAGTTGTTACTTAGTTTGGTAAGTGGGCGAGTGAATGGGAGAGAGAGAGAGAGAGAGAGAGAGAGAGAGAGAGAGAGAGAGAGAGAGAGAGAGAGAGAGAGAGAGAGAGAGAGAGAGAAGAGAGAGAGAGAGAGAAAAGGGAGAAGGAGAGAGGGAGAGGGCAAAAGAGAGGAAGAAAGGGAGAGTGAGGGAGAAAATGGAGAGAGAGAGGGGAGAGTATGAAGAGAGGGAAGGATGAAAAAGAGGGAGAGAGAAAGGTTGAGAGAGAGAGAGTAGAAAGTGAGAGAAGGAGAGAGGAGAGATGGAGAGGGAGAGATAGGGAGAAAGTGGAGAGAAAGGAATGGTTTAAGAAGAAGAGTGGGAAAGAAAAATCAAAATAATAAAGAGAGATTGTGAAAGAGAGAGGAGGGAATGGGAAGAGAGAAGAGAGATTGGGAGGAGGGTGAGAGAGAGAGGAGAAAAACAGAAGAGAGTAGTAGAAAGAGAAGGGAGAGAGATGGGAGGAAGGGATGGAGGGAGTGGGAGGAGACAGAAAGATGATAGCGAGAGGAAAGAGAGGGTGAGGGAAGGAAGAATGGAAGGAGGGAGAGAGATGGGGAGGGAAGGGGGGGGGGACATAGGCACGGAAGGAAGGGGAAGCAGTGAATGTGGATGGGCGGGAGAGAGGGAGACAGGGAGGAAGGGAAAGGGGAATAAGAGGGAGGGAAAGCAAGAAAGAAATAGGGAAGAACGAAAAAAGGAGAAAGAAAGAAAATAAACAACAAAAAGAGAGAAGAAGAAAAGGGGCAAAAAGCAATGAAGAAGAGAAGAGATTAAACAGGTAAGAACGAAGGATGTGTAATATTCCACTGACAAAAATATACATTCTAAGATGATTTACAGATATACAATACACTGGAAATCACATTGTCATTCAGTTTGAATTACTCAACATTTAAGAATAACTGACGCGAACAAAGTACACTCGAATTTACGAAGAGAGATCCACATATGTGTATCTCGAAATCAGAAAACGTTTCACGCCCAAAAACGTTTCGAGACTGACCTTCGCTCCTCCTCCTGCGTTTAAACAGCTGTTTTATGACGGCGTCGAGAAAGGTCTTCGCGTCTGCTTTGTCTACGAAGTTGAAGCCGATCATCTTTTCCTGTGACAAAAAGATGAAAAAAACGTTGGTATAGATGTATATGTATCTACGTATACTCATCTACTTTCGAGACCTGTGAGAATTCCATGGAGCAAGACATAAAAGTGGAGATACTCCTCTTTCCCTCTCCCTCTCCACTTTTTGTTTTCACTTTCCCTTTCCTCTCCCTCTCCTTTTCCATTTTCCTTTCCCTTTCCCTTTTCCTCTTCCTCTCCCTTTTCCATTCCCTCTCTTTCCCTCCCATACCCCCGTCTTTTTTTCTTTCTTATATCTCTTTATTTTTTAATCTCCCTTCTTCCTTTCTCACTCTTCCTTTTCTCCCCTCTTCACATTCTACATTCCTTCTTCACCTCACGCCTCGAATAAGTAAAAATTATGCATAAACTAACGGTCTAACTACTTTAATGCAGTGTACTTGCCTTAAAGAGTAAATATAACAATGATAATAACGATGACAATAATAACAATAATGATGTGTGTGTGCACATGTGTTTGTTTGTGTGTGTGTGTCATTCTTTAATATCTATGTCATGACCCCATTTCCCTCCAAAATTAATAGACTTGTATTTCGCAGTCACATGGAATCTGATTCTAAGCATTAGATGCTCATCTTACATCAAAACGATTAGACTTAAAGTTAGCAGTCACATGGAATATAATTTCATGTGTAAATTGTATAGGTTATGGATTGACGGACCGACTACAAGTGGTACTGTACAGTTTAATAACATATAACGTTTTCTGTTCGTGTTTGTATATTTATTTATTTTATGGGGTCTGTCTCTGTGTCTATTTTTTCTGTGTCTTGCTTGTCTTCATATGTCTCACTGTCTAATTCTGTCTGTCTTTCTATTCGCCTATCTGTAGCTCTGTCTCTATATTTGTCCATCTGTGTCTGCGTTTGTATGCAAATGTGTTTGTCTATGTGACTGTGTTTAACTGTCTGGGGTTTTTGTTTGACTGTCTGCATCTGTTTTGTGTGTGTGTGTGTGTGTGTGTGTGTGTGTGTGTGTGTGTGTGTGTGTGTGTGTGTGTGTGTGTGTGTGTATATCTGTGTTCATTTGTTTGTGTTTATGATGACGACGATGAGTGATACAGGAATCACAATCATAACCTAATGGAAACAACAACAGCTTACGTCAGATTTGAAGTGATGGAAATGAGATCCAGAATCGTAGTAGGAAAACTCCCTGTGAATTTCCTGTTCGAAGACCCTTTGGCCTCTCGCGCTGTCGTCAACCTAGAACGTAATGGCAGAACAGCGATCGTGTCTTCAAATACTGTGAGCGAATTCCAATTTATTCTCAAAATTTGTAGTAAATTGTTATTAAAGAAAAAATGATAGATGGAGAGGCAAATTTTTGAGACGGGGAAACAAAAGAGGAACGTAGAGTTGAATAAAATAATTATTAAAAGAAGGAAGGACTGACGACTGATGGAAAAAAACTCACCTGGATGAAAACCTTGCCGACATCTTTCGTTAAGCTGGCCACTCCCGAGTGGATCTTGCACCAGCTGTCATGGTGCGGCGGCTCTGTCCCGTACATGTGCACCACAGCCGTTGCTAGTGTCTGTGAGGAGGAAAGGATATTTAAAATCACCGAAGAACAAATAAAGCCGTTTTCCTCACCACGAGAAAATATGACAGTCTAGGTTTCAGCTTAGTTGCTGATGTCTAGAATTTGGCAAACAGCTAGTTATTTGATGATTATATGAAGTTTATTGTGAACCACTGCTTTAAGTTATTATCTAAATGAGTCCGTATTTATTCCAGTAACACATAGTAATACCTACTGAGTAAATAAGTTTCATCAGCTCACACCTGACAACGGTAGTATATTTTGAAAATTTCTTCTGACACATCACACCCCGACTCATTACTGAACCAACCCTATTCATCCTTGAAGAGCCAATAACCCTAAATATTTACCTCACAACCCAGGGCTTTTAGCTTTCACCCCCGCCCCCCCCCCACCCCTGTCCTTCCCTCGCCAGCCTCACCTGACACTGCGGGCCGAGCATCCTGAAAACCGCCTGGTTCTCTCCCTCAGTGTGTTGGAGGGTTTGTGCGGCGGCGTCCTCGTCTATCCCGTCATGGTGCCGCCTTGGCCACCTCGACGGCTTCCTTGGCTCTGACCTTAACGCTCCTCGTGGTGCAAATTCTGCAAAGGACGAGATACCTGTGAAAGTAATAGGGGCGTTGGGCCTTCGTGTGGAGATATCGGAGGATTTCCATGATTCTAACTTTTTTAATGCGCATCCCCTGTAAGAAGAATATTTCGACCTAAGTATCACACAACCAAATTGTTCTCATACTATATTGCGGTCGTATCTTTCATTACATGTCCCCGTTCAGTCAGATCGCTTCGTCAATATGTACAATAATTGAGATATATCACTAGAATGAAAATAATTTCTAGAAATAATTTCTGCACATTTTTCAGTCATCCCTAAATAATAAAAAATGAGAACATAGATATTTTGCAACATGTTTAAGGCATATTAGGGTGGAAGACACAAAATTTAAGCATATAAAGACTCAGCAACAGTGAAGGGATTGAAAATGGCACTATCACATTCACCTACCTTACTTTTATACAGATCCATACGGCTTGGCCCAATATTTGTATGGTATCAACAGACTGCCAAGAACCAACGAATATTCACATTACATATACTTTATACTTTCTCTATCACATTACTTCTGACTGTATAAATGCAACCCCTTTATACTCAACCCCATAATATAAAATACGGAGAGTACGATAGATTTTTTTTTCTAAAAATCACCCAAAATTGATTTACTCTGATGGTATTTGCCAAATTTGCCTGATTGCAGAAAGTCGTTTCTTGAGATTAGCCAGAACCCACGCACTTATCTCCCGCGTTGTGTAGGGAAACTGTGAAGCTTCTCTCAGGTGCCTTCTTATCAGGAATGTTTTTCTGTCTACGGAACACTATCAGTACCTATCACACCAGTCTTTACCTTCTACGAAGATCGATAAGAGTCTCGGTTGCCAATTGTTGCCATTATATCATTAACAGCAAACTGGCTTAAATTAATGTTTTGTCGTTCCCTCAAAATTGAAAATACGAACCAAGTAATTCTCAACTCCACGTCACAAAAGTTTCCATGACTGGGTGTGCCAGACTACCCGGGTAGAGGGTTGATGGGGAGCACTTTCCGCGATCTTTTTCCTTTATCTATGGCAGTATGTATGCAGATTACTTGTACCAACGACTGTACTTTTCAGTCCTCTACAAGCATATCTTCAGTTTGCCTTACCTTAGAGCGTCCATACCGGAATGAAAACTAACCTTTCACATATTCAAACACATTCCAAGTATGAAGAACATGTGAGCAGAATCACAAATACAAAAAAACGGGTAATTCAGTAGGCTTATGAAAACGCCTCTACATGCCAAGAAGGCTAGGCGCTACTGGACAAGCTGAAGCCGACGCCTGCAGGTAACCTATCAGATAAGCCGCTTAAGATACGTTTTATATTATTACAGATAACAAGCAGATATGTATCCAGCAACTTATATCAACTCAATATAAGGATGGAAATAGCGTGCAAACAAGTAGGTGTTAACCCGGAAGACTGAAAAGATACGAACCCCAAATCAAAGAGAGTCATGAGGTAGGATTGTAATTTTGGGATTTTCAGCATTCTTCGAGAGCGCAGTATAATTCTTAATATCCAGTCTAGTCATGTATCTAGGAGAGAAGAATATTTGTAACTGCTAGCAACCCCTTTACCATCTTAAACGGTGGCGACTTTATCACCCTTTGAGGGGAAAAGGAAAGATTGGATATATATCTAAGTATATGAATAATACTATACAAATATTTAAATACATATATATGTATATATATTTATTTATATACATATGTATATATATATATATATATATATATATATATATATATATATATATATATATATATATATATATATATATATGTATGTATGTATGTATACACATACACACACACACATATATATCTATATCTATCTATCTCTATCTATCTATATCTATCTATCTATATATTATAAATATAACATATATATATATATATATATTATATATATATATATATATATATATATATGTATTTATTTATACATATATACAGTCTGTATGTGTATATCAATACATTTTTATATAAACATGCGCACACACACACACATACGCACACACACACACACACACACACAAACACACACACACACACACACACACACACACACACACACACACACACGAGACAACAAACTACCAGACCGCAGAATCAGGCATAAAAACGTTGTGAATATTTTTTTCAACTTTAAAATTCTAAAAATAAAAACACCCTAATGTTTCACACATTACACTATAGGTGACTAGCATTGCTAAGGTGCAGTTGTCAAATCTATGAATTGTTGTTTTTCAGAGACCACTGTTGGAGATAAAAGTCAATTATTGTTCTTAAGTTGTAATTGTAATAGTTATAACATTTTGACACCATTGCCTTAATCAGACTTATTTTCCTGTTGTAGATACTTCAACCAATCACTGTCATTATTATCGACCGACCTCTCAGGCCACGGAATACTACAAACTACTCAAGTATTCCACCCTTATCCTGGCGACTTACCTTCCACCCTTATCCTGGCGACTTGCCAGATCAAAATTGTCACCCTCAGACTCATGGTGGATCAGTTGGAAGTGTAGGGAACTGTACCTGGCGACTCGGTTTCCACCCCCCTACCCTGGCGACTTACCTTCCACCCCTACCCTGGCGAGGCGACTTACGAGGCGACTTTACACCCTTACCACTTACCTTCCACCCCCCTACCCTGGCGACTTACCTTCCACCCTTACCACTTACCGGCGACTTACCCTACCCTGGCGACGTTAACCCCACCCTGGCGACTCGGCTTCCACCCCTACCCTGGCTACCTTCCACCCCCCTACCCTGGCGACGTACCCCTACCCTGGCGACTTACCTTCCACCCCCTACACTTACGGCGACTTACCTTCCACCGGGCCCCTTCCAACTTACCTTCCACCCCCCCTACCCTGGCGACTTACCTTCCACCCCTACCCTGGCGAGGCGACTTACCCCACCCAACTCCTGCCTTACCTTTACCCTGGCGACTTACCTTGGCGACTTTACCAGGCGACTTACCTTCCACCCCCTACCACGACTCGGCTTGGCGACTGGTCACCCCTACCAGTACCAGTGGACTGCACACTTACCTTCCACCGTTAAACACACGCCAACTTACCTTCCACCCCCCTACCCTGGCGCTTGTACTGAGCACTTCTACCGTCCAAACATCAACGTAAACTGCTATGCCCTTGACTCTGAGTCCTCCAGCTAGCTGCCTACCTTTCCTAGTTTCGTTGCTTAGCGGGCGCAGAAATATGTGAACACTTGTTTGTTTAGTTATACTTGTAACTAGTATGTAGTTGAGGCCATGCAGAGGTTTAATAACGTGTGAATTACTGATTTAAATTGTTTTGGCAAGAATACTGTGATTTTTTTTTCTTTTCTTTTCTTTTTGAGAATGATAGGATAAATGTTTACTCAAGGCATAAACAGCACCCCATGGAACCTAACATTGCAATCATGATTTTGGAAGTAATAAATAAGTTGCACATCACACAGGCTGCAGGAGCGTCAGTTTTAACATGTTACATTAAATTGCCACACACACAGACACATATACTTTTACATATATACATATATATGTATATATATATATATATATATATATATATATATAATATATAGAGAGAGAGAGAGAGAGAGAGAGAGAGAGAGAGAGAGAGAGAGAGAGAGAGAGAGAGAGAGAGAAGAGAGAGAGAGAGATGAGAAGAGAGAGAGAGAGAGAGAAACATACGGCCCAGCACTTATTACAAGGGATAATTGTTGCTATTTCAACTCAAAATGACCGTAGACGTAGCGTGCACACAGTAAGGAAGAAACAACCCGGGGAAAGAATATGAAGAGCCTGCAACACGCAAATCAAGCTGGTTTCGAACAGTTCAGTATAAGGGTGAGCCTGGAGCAGACAAAGCACATACTCTAAATATCGAAGAAACAAGTAAAATGGCGCAATTTCAAACGAGAGCCAAAATGAACGGTGCAATACGGCGGATCTTTTTCCCGGTGGAGTAAGGAATCGGCGTCCTTAACGTGGTACAACTCTTTGAAATACTATTCTGTTGTTAGGTGTATCATCTAATAATGAACACTATTGACATACTGTTTACTTCTGGTACTTTTGATATCTTCTGATTTTAATACTAATTATGTATTTCATACATACTGAATTTGTAACCTGTATATATTGTAGGAAAAGATTGCCAACTGCCAGAAAAGGATAATACAATTTTTTTAACATTTTCACTAGTAATAATACGGTGAGAACGAGTATTATTACATCAAGAATGATACATTTCTTTAAGTAAAAATAAAAGTAGGGGTAGTACCGGTAGCATTTATAATGATAAGATAATCAACCGAGATCAGTGCAGCCGAGTCGACCAGAAGGGTTGCCATGTTTGTTTAAAGTCGTTCTTTAAAGTATAAATGTCATTTCATTTCATCCAGTTGGGAGAAAGTCGCCGTATTTATAACTTAACAGATACGCGAAATATCCACTGGTTTCCAAATTCTAATAGTTGTTAGCTTTTACTGTAGTTCGAGTAAATTATCATGCTTTTAAGTGAATGTCATGAAGTAGATCTTTTGCACTATTATCTAAAAACAAAGCAAAACGAAAATGTAGCTTTCGGTCACCCGTTGCTGCTTCGTCGTAACTCGTGGGGCACATCACGCCTTTTGTTTTGCTATATTCTTCATTTCCAGTTTCGTTTTGAGCCATCTGTTTGCAAAAATATATGAGTGCAAAACCAAAGTCAATTATCTGCGTCACAATATCTAAATTTTCAAATTGGTTTCGAATGCAAATAAGTCATTGATATTTAGCTTCCCTTACCCTTCAGGATGATTTGGGTACCTTCAGCGTGCTGTGGTATCGGCAGGAGGACAGCCGGGTACATCATAGCCTCCATTACAGCCGTGAGTACTTTGGAGTGTTAATGTAAGCTTGTAAACGTGAAAATCGATGGTACGATTAGGTAAAGCAAGATTAGAAGTCCGATTCTAGTGCTGTTTTTTATGATTATCCTCTAATTCTGACAAAAAAGTAAACTATCATGTTAGAAAATGCTATATCTATTCTCAATTGGAAATACAAAGTTTGTAAAGACCTTTCCCGCATTCAGATATTGTTTTTATGTGAATTGCGAACGGTAAAATTTCCTTCCCCATACCTAGAGCCTGAGAATGGTTAAATTAATTGTCTCGTTTCCTTCGCAGATTCACTGTACGATTGACTTGTTTATCATCCTTTACTGCTTGTCCAGCGGGCATTTCAACATGATGGAAGACTATTGCGAGAAGAAAGCTGTTGAATACCAAACCACGAGTTGTGTTGCGTTAATACATAACAGAAGTAAGTAATTTCATATCGCCCCTATATGTTAAGATTTTCTTTTAGAGGGTAAAGTGACTATTTAATCAGGAAACATTACAAGAGTATAGACTCAAACAACTTTGTGGTAGTTAAAAAAATATCAACTACAGATTTTATATTTTGAAAAATCCAACAATTCATTTTGTCAGTATGGTAATTTCTATGGTATTGTCTATATGAGAATTTTACTTTATTGCACTGTTTGACAGGGATTGGAGTAGAATCAGCCCGAACGGTGATGAAGATCCTTCATGTTATCTTTAGCTTCCTCCTCATCCATGGCGTCAGAAAGGCAATCAGCCATTTTGTTCAGATCCAACTGTCTTAGACGAAACATGTAATTATAAAGTTATTTAACAAAACACACATGGGCGCGCACACACACATATTGCAATTGTAAAGTTATGTACAGCATATATGTTGTAATTAAAAAGTTATTTACAAAACGTACATTGTGATTACATGATGTACAAAGACATATTGTAATTATAAAGGCATTTACAAAAACATGCTTAAGTGCCATCGTACACATACACACCAGCATTCTATTTGCATTTATTTACAACTGAATATTTATACTTATACTGCAAAAACCTACAATTACATCCTTTTTTCAGAATAATCCACGTCAGATGGTTCCCTACATGGTGACGATGCTGATTGCTATCGCCTTGTTGACACTGGCTGCTGCATTCATGGTAGTAGGCTACATGAAGTGGAACATTAGGCTTGCTCTGGTAGCGACTGTCCATTTCGGGGGAATTATTTTCATCATGACTTACTTCAACTTACAAATGTAGAAAAGGTACAAATGAGAATATGTCTATATATATCTTCACAATACAAGAGATGTATTTGACCGGTTTCGATTATATCTTCGTCAGAAATACATACAACTAACTTTTGAACAACTGCAGAACAGGTAAAATTAGTTTCAAGTGGTTGCATGCACGATAAGTCAGTGAAAACAAGGCTAACATAAACTAACATTTTAGGCAGAAAGTGATATATATGCTAAACATAGCATATCTATTACTTGGGAGCTGATAAACCATCCGACGAATGTGACCACGCTCGTTACCCGCATAATTGTCGCTGCGACCTTGGATACTTCCGTTATTATTTTGCCAATACGTTTTGCCATACACACGGAGACGAGCATCCCCTAATTTAATTTTTTCCCTATTATTGTGATATTTGTCATCCTTATACCTATTTGTGATGGTTACTGAATAAGGGTGTGTAGTGCTGTCTTTCATGCGTAACACAAGGTATGGTTATTTTCAGATAAATGAACAAACTGAGGAATAACTTCAGACCCTTAAAGGCTTAAAAGAAAGAAGTGCTTTCAATACGAAATCTGGGACTACTTGGAGGAGCATCGCCTATGAGATCATATGTTTGACTTCATGTTATAAAAGGACAATAAATATGTTGGTTATTATCTTTAGAATATCTTTAGGACAGTAAATACGTTAGTTATTAATATCTTTAAAACTACATATCTAAAGCCGGAAAACTAACGAAATCAGCTGAGAATGCGCGGACCCTTAGCACCTCTTTCCTTGGTTTATCGACACTAGTTTCGACCGTAACGCCCCTTTAAATGTTTTAAAACTGCCATGTGTATTAATTGATATTGTTTTCGTTTAAAAGGATATATGAGTTTATACCTTCATATTCCATTATACGTTCATTATAAGTAAAATGATTATGTAAAACAATTATTTTTGTAATATTCGTTCGGCCATCCGAACACATTCTGTAAACAAAACATGAATCCGTTTAAGATACTTAATTCTTCGTGGAAAATCCTTGGTGGCCTGAAGGCATAAATAATGTAATAAAAACAATGTTATTATCGACTTGTGTTAATTAAAAGCGAAGACATGCGAAAGATAAACCTTGGGTTCGCTCTTCTTAGCCATTTCCTATTGATATGAGATGGGAGAATTTTAATACTCTTTGGTGGTATTTATAATAGTGTAGATTTTCAATATTCATATTTTGTTTCTAGAGCATGAATATCTTATGAACATTTTTATACTACTTAACTGTATGAGATATCTAAGAATCACAGATGTAAAATATTTCATATATTCCCATAACAAAACAGGTATATGTATATGCATATACATATATATATATATATATATATATATATATATATATATATATATATATATATATATATATATAATATTATATAATTCATGTGCACACATACACGCAAATACATTAAGTTATCATATATTGCAACAATTTCCTCATTAACGTTACAGAATAACTCATGATGCAGTGCATGAAATTTGAACTTCGCATTTTCTTCCACTTTCAAAACAGGAAGGGGCTGTCCACACGCTCATTAGCGAGGTTTACATTCGACTCCGCCCCCATAAATAGGGGCGGAGTCATAGAAAAATGAAGCATAACACTTCTCGTCTTTGGAAACGGGGGCTGAGGTGTTTCTAAGGGTTGCCACTTACTGCCAGACTCGTCGTTTTAAGCCAAGGTGCTTTATCCTATCTGCCAGTCGCGTGTGGAAAGGACTAGCAGTTGCCTTGAACACTTCAGGTATTTGAATTCCAGCCGTTAATAACTCTGATGGAATGCGAATTGCGAGTTATAGTCCTGCTTTTACATAAATGTCATTGAGTAAATTTCATACTTTGCCAACCTGCGGAAAGGGCAAGAACACCCGAAACAAAACAAAAAGGAAAGAGGTCACGGAGGTCACCGTGATGCTGCGCCGTCGTAGCTCGCGGAGCGCTTCTCCACAACGCCCCTTGTTTCTTCCTTTCTTTCTTTCTATCTTTTTACTGCTTCGTTTTAAACTGTTGTTTGCGAAACAAAATGGAGAAACGTTCAAGCATGACGGAAGTCAATGAATTATGGCGCACTGATTAGATTTATTTTGATCTTGAATGATAATAAGGAATAGAAAGTAGTATTACTTCTTTAGTTATCCGACAAGACGCATAGTTGATTTGAGTAGGTCCAGATGATTTATGTGACCAGTGATTTTATCATTTCCGCAGTCGTCAGCATGGTCTGGGAACCTGCAACATGCTGTGGAATCAACAGGAGGACAGCCGGGTACATCATAGCCTCCATTTCAGCCGTAAGTACATTAGTGTGTTAATGTAAGCTGATAAACGTGAAAAGCAATGGTACGATTATGTAAAGCAAGATTAGAAATGGTATTTTAATGTTTTTTTTTTATGATAATCCTCTAATTCTGACGCAGAGAAGTAAAATATCATTACAGAAAATGCTGCA